TGTCTTGCCTCGCCCGTCACTTCGACATATTTTTCGAGCTGAACTGAACCTGTAGCTTGATTATATATGCATCATACATATTAATTATGTTCATATAAATATCATCTTCGAATAAATGGCAGTATATTGTCAAAAATAAATGTAAAATTAATAAAAACACCCTACTTTCGGTTTTGCAGCGGCACGGGCTGTAATATTTACATAAAAATTAAGAAATAGTACATACATACTTTGTTGGAATAAGTGAACTTTTTATTTGGAAATAATAAAATGATACTGGTTCCGTAAGTAATAAAAACATTTTTACTGTTATTTTGCCTGTTTTCATTTCAATGAACCTCTTTTTTTAATTCTATGCGGTAGTGACGATATACACGTGCGTGTACGGAAAAAAACATGATGCATAAATATTGATTAGTAGGAGTAAACTTCAAGATCTCTGCACATGCGTATATTTCACTTTAGCGCCCTTCGAAACTTAGCCCCGCCCACTTGCGTTTTATAATATAAAACGTCCAGTTTATATAAAATCTGTTCTATTAAGATTTGAAACCTGAAAATTTGAAAAATCCTCGTCGGTGATTGGCTTAAAAAATTGGCGAGCAGTAATTTATTTATATGATGAAGATTAAATATCAATATGGCACTTTACACAGTCTCCCTTAAAGGACTGAATGAAACTGACTTTTTAATTTTCACAAACTATTTTATATGCACTAATGGCTTTCCATAGATTTTTTTTCCGCCAAAAATGATGTCAAAAGGTCAAGTGACATGTAATGGAGGTTGAATGACGTCACCACCTGTCATTTTTTATTTTTTTGGAAAAAAAAGTGTTTTGTAGAGTGACCAATTCATGCAATGGAGGAATAGGATAGTAAAATAAAAATAAGGTAGGATATGTGAAATATTTCCTTCAGAAACTCATGAAAATGTTTAAAAACTTTGAAATAGCCACTATTACTGGGAGCATGTCAATATAAACGCTCGGTAGGTGGCGTTGACAATAATATCGCGAGATATGTGAATATACCGGTACCATGGAGTTACCGGTATCATGGGGTTCGAGTATACTTACTTATATCAATGAGACTAGCATCTTTAGGACAAAATGTAGTCCAACTAATTGTAGACCTTTACTGCGTGACAAGATATTGTGCTATTTTTGTGTCTGGTCAATATCTCGCCTCTAAAAGCGAGATTCTGCCTCTGAACAAAAATATCTCAGAATCTTGCTTCGGCACGTCAATATATTTTGACTAGGACAAAATGTAGTCAAAATATATTGACGTGCCAAAGCTTGATTCTGAGATATTTTCGTTCTGGGGCAGAATCTCGCTTTAACGTCAAAACCAAAAGGAGACCTTTCTGTGGTGAAACGTGGATTTCGATGTTAATGTAAAAATGCAGACAATTTAAACTAAGAATCTATTCAACAATACAATTTTAAGGAATCAACAGCACAAAAAGTGCTAGACTATCAACTTAAAAGAAAGTAAACCACGTTAGTTTCATTTCACCGTCTCGTTTGTGTACCAACGCCGCCATATTGTGATGTTGCTACAGTAATGTAACATGTACGCTAAAAATCGATATTGTTTGGTACCGTGAATGTTGTCATTTATTTTTGCATGGCAAAAAAAATATGAATAAAAATGTTAAACAGTGCTTATTATTCTTTAATGTTGTTATTATTATTTATATTTATTGCTACATTAAAATAAATCGCCAGGAAATAATCTTTAACTATTTTTTCTAATTGATTGAAATCTTTAAAATGATGCGGAGAAACTTTTAATTTAGACCTCTTAATTTTCTATAAACATGTTTATTAAAGGATAAATAGATACTGTATTTCATTAAAATTTATATTGTCACCACTCTGTAGTATTATCTATGTTAGAATAATTATGTTAGTTACAACTTGCTGCGTATTAAAAACAGCAACTCCTTGCCTAGGAAAGTTTTGTTTTCCAAACGTGCATTACGCTATGAAAGATTTTTTGAATTCAAATGGTAAATTCTTGTGTTAATTTTTCATTCCTCAACAGTTTTCAGAAAAGTAAAACTCGTTACTCCGAGCGCCCATTTTTCGTTTGTCTACGTGTACATGTACCATTTATCCGTGTATAATAAAAGACTATAATCATAGCATGCCGTAATGGCCTGGATATTTGGGTGTTGTTTAAGCGATGTTCCAGAAAAGTTTTTGTTCCGGTATAGAAAATATATTCAACCATGTATTTATTTTTGAAACGTTACGTGTCAACTATTCCACAACGCCGACACCGGTACGCTGACCAATATACACTTCGGAAATGTTGACACTGCGTAGTTCTGTTTCTTTCTTACTTAAATTCTTTGTGTCAACTTAAAATTTATAAGATTAAGTTTTAAATAAATTTGATTTATAGATAAGTATTTAAATTGGAGCCGTACGTGATTCCTATCCGGAATCAGTTAAACAATTTTCCATGCTGACATGGTCCAAATTGTAAAGAAAAGTTATTTTTAGATTGGTATAACATGTATTTATTTTTCAATTTATAATTATAAATATACTTGATGATTCATTTTAAAGACGATAATCTTATGCTTAAATTTCTTTCTATAATTCATTTATGAAAATTGTTTAAACGGTGGTAAGAATTTAAATGTGTTACGGTCACGAGTTTTCTCGGTATATTTTCCCGGCTCTGAATTTACGCAAGATATACCAACCTTTTCATTTAATATTTAGGAACTATTTTCTGGTTTTCTGTCTAAATACACTAAAAGGTTAAAAATTATTGAAAAAAAAAAAGAACTGAAGAGGCGCCGTGTTTTCTTGCCGATTTTAAAAGTTCGTTTTCCAAAGCAACATCTTTAATACTTGGGGCAGTAGCAATCTGTATCATAGTATTGTTTAAAATGAGTAAACGTGTTGCATAACCCGTAAATCTTATATGATTGGACAAGAATCAAAGAAATCACAGACACTTTGGGTGTGGAGCTCAAAATGCCTTAAAAATCTAAAAGAAATGTATGTTTGTCAACGTTGGGGTGCCACGTTTGAATTTGTCGAAAGATTTTGTAAATGGAGTAAAACGGCGATAATCTCCTGTTGCGTTGTTTATATTGATGTTGAAGTTTAGAATTGACCATCATCATGAAGAATTATATCTTCTGTGTCGGTGGGCTAAAGGATTATGTGAAAATATTGGAAATTGAATAAAATACATGGTGTTTTTGACGGTAGGTGTGCGGATTTTTTCCGGCGAACATTTTTATCTTGTGTATTATTATAGACGTTGAAATATGAATTTTTGTTTCAAAACGGCTTATATTAAGTATTTTTATATATATATACAGGATCAGTACATGTGCTGGGATTGACAAATATGCATTTCTTTATTTTAAAATCGTTTTGAGCTCCACACCCTACACCTCTGTGAAAGAAGCGGCGCAGCGTTTTGTTTATGTAACATTGTAAAATAACCGCGTTGATTCTTCAAATCGCACTTCGCCATGCGTGTATTTTATAGAAGAAAATAATTTCTTAGACGGCATAAGAGTGAAATGTATGGAATAAATCTTTACTGTATACCAACATTATGAAAGTCTTTTGCAAAACAAAAAACAACAAACAAAAATGAAGCTGGCACCTGTTTCATGAAATAAATTTCCGAGTATTTTTCCCTGTGCCACGGTCATTTTAAAACAATTTCATTCCTACATGTGTGTGTGTTTTTCTTTCTATAAACATCTTCAGAAAGCTTTTTGGAATAAACTAGCCAGAATTATGGACCTGCGTGGATGAGAAAATAAAAAAATAAATAAATACATGGAATGTTGTTTCCGCACATACATGTATAATGTCGAGGCACCGCGTTTGACATTCATTCGTTTTATTATTGATAATGAATATTTTGAACATTGAAAATATCGTTTAATAGTTAATCAACATTAATATAAATAACAGACTGTCAAATTCCTTAGAATGGTGTCCTCTCGTAGTCGCTAAGGCACTAGGAAAATCCGTACGTTGCTCTTTAAACATATAAACCTCGTGTTTCTGCTATTAACATATTCCTATTTTTATCATAATCGTGGGAAAAAAATCTATAGTTACCAATAGGTCCCATGTCCTATATTGACTGGGAAAGCTGAACAAAATATTTTTTTATAAACTAGAAAATGCTTTGTGAGGAGTCCATTTACAGAGTAGCTTTTCTAAAAAGATAATGATGATTCTGATATTTCTAAGAACGCTCTGACAATAACGAATAAGTTTTGCATCTGCCCCAATAAAATAATATTTTCATCCTTTCATAGTTATTAATTTTTTTGCATAAATAAATGTCTTAAATATAACATTAAACTTGATATTTTACTAAGAGTGTTTCGGCGTTTCTCATGCAGTAACGCAGTACCGCATACACACCAGTGTAGTTATTAATAGTGTATTTGTCACGTGACATTAGCAGCGATGTCTTTATTTTGATGGTTCATGTGTTTACTTTTCTATCAAAATCTTTATGTTAGGAATATTTTCACAAATAAAACATGAAATTGATGTAGAAATGAGTAATCTTTAAAGGTATCGTAACAAATTTATTCAAATATGAATTATAATACGATTTTAGACGGTCCAAAGCTTGCGCTCAAAATCCCGGCGCAAATTTCACCACAGAAAAGGTACTTTTTATGTTGTACGTAGAGGCGAGATATTGCCCAGACACGAAAATAGCACAATATCTCGTCGCGAAGTACAATTAGTTGGACTAGGACAAAATGGATCTGTGCCCATTTGACTTTGCTTTCATTCACTTGGTTTCCACTGCATAGGTAAGTTGAAGGGTAACCACACAATTTCACACATTAACTATATAAAGTTATATACAGCAAAATGGTGTACTAGTTATGATTAAAACTGATTAAAATACTTTTCTATTACAGACTACATGTATACCCCACCCACATTTTCTTACTACTTTGAACTTCATAATAATTTAGCATACATCTTGTTTGAAAGTGATTACGCCTTTCACTGCATCGCTGACTAAAACACACTTTGCAAGAAGTGACATGATGCTGTTTCTGAGAACTGTCAAGGTGTAATAAAGAGGATATGGAGGACTCAAGTTGAACTAGTTTTTGCTAGGTAACCCGGCGACTTTTTTTTGCACACGGTACTAAATAATTTCGTATTTTCATGGCATAAAATTATTATTGTCACCGGTGCTATTTTTTTTCAACCCAAAGACGCACAATGCCCAAAGACGTAAATTAAAATTAAAGAAACACAAATGTAAATAATGCCGGCCTATGAAGCAGCTGTAATAATAAGATCTGCCTTAGAAAGGGTATTTTAATTAAAAATCTTATGGCGTATTGTTTGGTTAATTTACATTTTATAAAGAGTGTTTACTTATGTTACGTTTACGACAATAGTCATATGATTTCGCGAGTGACCTTGATACGAATGAATAATTTGAATGGAAAACTTTGAATTTCATTGAATGTCAGCACTTTCTTGACGTTTCTACTAATAAACATTGCTATTTTAAAGCATCTAATGTTCAAAATGATGAATGGTTGATTATTTTAAATGTTTTTAGATTATGGTCTGGTGAAGTGTCTTTAATTTTGGGGGGTGAAATGTCTTGAGGGGTGAAGTTTCTTCAAAATTTAAGGGGTGAAGGGTCTTGCGGGAAAAGTGATTTGTTCTCCTTGTATACAGGAGTAGACTAGATGGGGCAACTAGGTCTAGGAATGTACTGATGTCCTATAACAGAAGACGTTTTCGTGAGTAGGACGTACAGACTCATCCTAGTCCAATATATTAAACGTTACAGGCTTGTTATAGTATTTGTCGGTCAAGCCTGACGTCTAATAGTTATTGCTCATAAACGCATAGCATCATAAAAAATTCAAAAAGGTCTATTATCTTGCCTTTCAAGCTTTATTCAAAAGCTTCTCTTTTCATGCTCAATTGTTAACAAAAACTCTCAAACAATCTACTTATCAATTTAAAATAAAGTAATATGAAATTAGGTGCTACCTATGGTGCGGAAAGCTCTTAGGAATTTAGCATAACATGTTTAGTGTACATGTAAATCAGATTTTTCTTGCAAGTATTTTGTACAGTAAACAAAACAAATAAATTGGTGGTGTTCAACCTATCATCGGAGCGCTCGGAATATTCCGAAAATCTCCGAACGTAAAGGGGGACCACTGCGCATGCGTCGTCATTTGGAAAATCTTGTCCGCCATTTTTGACAATCTCTAATCCCAGTTGTTGTTTTATAATGTGCTTATTTATCAAAAAGGATATGTTAAAGTTACTTTTTATATTTAATATGAAATTAGGCAAAGCCTATGAACGGGGAAGTCGTTAAAAATTCCTTTCATTTTTTCCGTTTTAAAGGTGTCATTCGGTATTTCATGCACCACTTCCGTTTTCACTCGGAACACTCGACGTTTATTATTTATCCGAAAAGTTGAGATTTGTTCCGTTATCGGAATACACCGTCTTTTATCATTGAGTTACATTGTAAATGGCGGCGCCTAACTAGAACTGACACTGAAAATTTCATTGATAGGTATAGAATTCTATATATATATTGTTTTTTTATTTGATTTTCTTTTAAATATACACGTGTAGTCTATAGCCGGGCAAGCCAAAGCCCGGGCCCACGACTTTGACTTCCCCGTATTATTGTTACAATAGTTCTTATCAATGAAATGCATGTTTATTTTCGGATTTTGTACATTATTCTTTCACCGGAAATGTTATTTAGCATGCGTCTGCTAGCACTAGTCTGAATTATGTAGACGCTCATAAAAAGCGCTCTGATATCTATATTTAGCTCAAAAGGATTTCAAAATGGCGGCGCACAGTTAACTAAGGATTTTTTCACAGCTCATTAGGTATAGGATATATATTTTTTTGGAATTTTCATTTACTTTTAATTTGATTTCATTTGAATTGATACGCGTCATACATGTTATCTAAGAGCGCTACAGCCCTCGCGGGGCCTTTGGCCCACTCCGACTTTCTGCGTATAAACATCAATTTTTTTTATCTATCAGCCATACTGGTTATTTAAGGTGCTTTACAGATTGATTCCAAATTTTTGAATGGAAAAATATATTCGAAAATGCTGGCGGTGCATGGGCAATTATTTCGTTAAAAAATAGTCCTTTAGAATCTTCTGACTCAGTTAAACGCTTGCATTTTAGCCAATTAGATTTCGCGCACTGTATGGCGGCCATTTGTTTATTGGCTGTATAAGGAATTTAATTACATGAGAGGATTTAATCATGATTTTTCGGATGTGACAGTTTAATTATTTTGTCAAAAGGTATTTATTATTTAGTTTTGTTCATAAATAAGTCAAAATTAATGTAAATACACGCTGTCTTAATTCAGACTTCCCGAAATACGTCGGTCCGACGGACATGTCTGATAAATTTTGATCAGGTCCGACAATTTTTTATTCCGGATCGGTCCGACTGTCCGGCTTTTATCCAAGCCGCATGTATACAAAATGGCGTCGCTAAAGGTGCCAAACCTGGGAAAAACCGAAAATCTACGTCAGAATAGTGCGCAGAACAGCAATAAAAGAATGAAAAGAATAGACCTGAGACAAAATTTATTGAAAAATGGAAGCAGAATCATGAATCATTGGTGTATGACAGGGAGGAGATGAAAATGCGCTGTACGGATTGTGCCGATTTTTACGGCGAAAAAATAAAAAACAAAAAGTGTCTCAGAAATACAAACACAAGTTTTTCTTTGATTTTGATCAATTTTATTTGGTCTGACAGATTTTGTTTCGGTCCGACAGATTTTCGTGGTTTGTCAGACCGAATGTCTGACAGTTTTTTTCAACTTTCGGGAAGTCTGTTAATTGTTTTTTCATTCCACCTGATTTTCTGGTGGGTCATGCTATGGGTTTTTGAGTAATTTCGATATGACATGCTTTGCCCAGAAGCAAAATTATCTCAAAACTACGTCATATTTATAGGACTATTAACACTCATCCGTGCAAAGTACTAATGGAAACGTCTTATGTTGTGGTACTAGGAATGTACCCAGGCATTGAAAAACATCTTCAGAGTCACTAATCCTAGCTGCAGGACGAGTAGCTTCCAAATCCAATCATGTGTGCGCAAGCAACATTTATATACCCGTTCTGCATCATGTCCACTTAAATTCTACTCATAATTACAAGCGGTCAAGTTGAATTTTCGATATCTGTGTACCCCAGATAACACTATCTATAGTATACATTGTAGTCTAATGTAATGAAGACTTTACCTGAAAATAAACACTCCTACTTAGTAGTGTTATTTTTACAAAGCTCCTTTACCAGTGGCAGTGCAGTGTTTTTTTATATGCCCGAAAGGGCATATTATGTTATACCCCCTGGCGTCCGTCTGTCTGTCCGTCCGTCCGTCCGTTAGCAATTTGGTTTCCGGAGCATAACTTAAGTTCCATTTGGCCCACAATGTTCAAACTTCATGGGATGATTGTCCATATTGGGTAAAAGACCCCTATTGATTTTGGGGTCAAAAGGTCAAAGTCACTATTACCTTAAAACTGAAAACAGTTTCCTGAGCATAACTTAAGTTCCATTCGACCCACAATGTTCAAACTTCATAGGATGATTGTCCATATTGGGTAGAAGACCCCTATTGATTTTTGGGTCACAAGGTCGAAGGTCAAGGTCACTATTACCTTGATACTGAAAACAGTTTCCGGAGCATAACTTAAGTTCCAATTGGCCCACAATGTTCAAACTTCATAGGATGATTGTCCATATTGGGTAGAAGACACCTATTGATTTTGGGGTCAAAAAGTCAAAGGTCAAGGTCACTATTACCTTAAAACTGAAAACAGTTTCCTGAGCATAACTTAAGTTCAATTCGACCCACAATGTTCAAACTTCATAGGATGATTGTCCATATTGGGTAGAAGACCCCTATTGATTTTTGGGTCACAAGGTCTAAGGTCAAGGTCACTATTACCTTGATACTGAAAACAGTTTCCGGAGCATAACTTTAGTTCCATTTGGTCCACGGTATTCAAACTTCATAGGATGATTGTCCATATTCGGTAAAAGACCCCTACTGATTTTAGGGTCACGAGGTCAAAGGTCAACGTCACTATTACCTTAAAACTGAAAACAGTTTCCTGAGCATAACTTAAGTTCAATTCGACCCACAATGTTCAAACTTCATAGGATGATTGTCCATATTGGGTAGAAGACCCCTATTGATTTTTGGGTCACAAGGTAGAAGGTCAAGGTCACTATTACTTTAAAACTGAAAACAGTTTCTGGAGCATAACTTAAGTTCCATTTGACCAACAATGTTCAAACTTCATAGGATGATTGTCCATATTGGGTAGAAGACCCCTATTGATTTTGGGGTCACAAAGTCAAAGGTCAAGGTCACTATTTCCTTGATACTGAAAACAGTTTCCGGAACATAAATTAAGTTCCATTTGACCCACAATGTTCAAACTTCATAGGATGATTGTCCATATTGGGTAGAAGACTTCTATTGATTTTGGGGTCACAAGGTTAAAGGTCAAGGCCACTATATCTTTAAAACTGAAAACAGTTTCTGGAGCATAACGTAAGTTCCATTTGGCCCGCAATATTCAAACTTCATAGGATGATTGTCCATATTGGGTAGAAGACCCCTATTGATTTTGGGGTCACTAGGTCAAAGGTCAAGGTCACAATGACCTTAATACTGAAAACAGTTTCTAGAGCATAATTAAAGTTCCAATTGGCCCCCAATATTCAAACTTCTTAGGATGATTGTCCATATAAGGAAAAAGACCCCTATTGATTTTTGGGTCACAAGGTCAAAGGTCAAAGTCACTTTTTACCTTAATATTGAAAACAGTTTCTAGAGCATAATTAAAGTTCCAATTGGCCGACAATATTCAAACTTCTTAGGATGATTGTCCATATAAGGAAAAAGACCCCTATTGATTTTGGAGTCACAAGGTCAAAGGTTAAGGTCATTATTAACAACTTATTAGTTAAGTATTAATCAACCTACAGCTGTAAAATTTTATAGGATGAACAGCTAATTCCCATGTCTTACAAATGCTTCATCCTTACTAAAAAAAAAACACTTTCGGGCATATAATGCTCCGCCTAGTGTGGCTCTTGTTTTCACTTTTGGGGGAAGGGTGTTGGTGCCCTTTTGAGGGGGAAAAATGCAGTAGGAGGGGGAATTTTATTTGTTTACTTATTTAATATTGTTTTCTTTGCGGTGGAAAAGGGAAGCAATTCTTGCAACACAAGTTTAAAATACGTCTCTTTTTTTTTTAGCTCTACTATACGGAGTATATGGAGAGCTGTCCTACTCGCCATGGCATCGGCGACCAGATTTTAAGATAAAAGTTTTGGTGCAGTAAAATATTTTTCACTATAACTTTTTCATTTCTTAAGGTATCAACTTCAAATATATGTCCCTGATCATCAACCACATCTTATGTGACAAGGTTCATAACTCTAGCACCTATATTTTCAGATTTATCTCCCCTTGAACTTAGAATTTTACATAAAAAAAAATATTTTTTTTACTGTTACTTCTTTATTTCTTAAAGCCACATTCAATAAATTTTAAAAAAAACAGTAATAGCATCATTTCATTAATAAATTGGGTTTCATATCGACCCCAAATCTTATTATGGCGTCAAGACAACCAAAATGAGTTTCATAAGCATAAATATTTGCGACCTCATTGTGGCGAAATCGGAAGTACAATTTCTGTTTGCATAAGAAACTCCGCCTTCGGAACATCCATACATCAATATTCAATCAACAAACATGGCTATAAGTAGCAGTCCTAATATATACAAATATGGACTTTTTAGCTGGTGAATATGATGTGATACGTACTGAAAAAATTAATATTAATTAATATTAATTTTTCAGTACATATCACATCATATTCACCAGCTAAAAAGTACATATCTGTTTTATTATATAATTTATAAATAGCTTTTATATGGCTTATTGAATCTGCCATTGCCTACGACCGAAATCAACATTTTTCAGCATGTCTAATTTTTCCTTAAATTGGCCCTTTCTATTAAATGAGCGCATTAGCAAGCTTATTTCGATGGTAACTAAAGTAGACTAATTTGACTCTTATGTAAGAGTCATCCAACATTTTTTTTTTCAGAATAATATATATAAGAATTTACAACAAACTTGATGTGACGTCTCGTCATAGTCTCACGTCATTCAGATAATTTCCAAAAAATCTATTTTTAGAAAGAAAAAAAACAGTGAATATACTCTGAAAATCTACTTTTAGGAAAAAAACAATGAATATACTCTGATATTGACCTGTTATTTTTTACAAAAAGTTGCTTGCTAGCTAATCAGGGAAAGGCATTTCAAAGCTATTTATAGATTATATAATAAAACGGTATATTTCCACATTGTAACGGATGTTTTCATACAAATTTGATATATTTATGAGATGATTACTCTTTCCTGAACGCCATGCCAGGTAAGTGCACTGTGAAGCTAAAACAGTTAAAGTGTGTTTGCACAAGAAAATCTCATATTTGCTGTGTTCTGTATAGCAACTATAACACTGTGACATAGCACATACACAAACTGATTATAGTCTTCATTTGCAATGCATGACATTGTTAAAATTCGTATACAAACTTTAGTATTACCATGGGGTTTTCTGTTTAAAATCGTAATTTATGAACAATGTTTGATGAGATTTAAAGCAATACTGTTAAAAATGTTAATGAAACTTTTTAGGCTGACAGCAAAATATTTTTTACATATTTTAATTATTTACTACTATTAATGTACAGCTTTAAGGCAGAAGCATTAATCAACTTCACACTTCATATTATATGTTCCTGATCATCAATCACATCTTATGTGACAAGGTTCATAAATTGAGCACCAATATTTTCAGATTTATCTCCCCTTGAACTAAAAAATATTATTTTTACTGTTACTTTATTTCTTAAGGGATCAACTTAATACTTCAAATATATGTTCCTTATCATTAACCACATTTTATGTGACAATGTCCATAACTCTAGCACCAATATTGCAAGCATTATCTCCCCATTTACTTAGATTATTTTAAACTTGAACAATGTTATTTTATACTGTAACTTCTTTAGTTTTGAAGGTATCTACCTCAAACTTCAAATATGTATTCCTTATCATCAACCACATCTTATGTGACAAGGTTAATAACTGTTGAAGCAATATTTTCATATTTATCTCCCTTTGAACTTAGAATTTTCTTAAGAAATATTATAACTTTCTTACTCTTTGATTAAGGTATCTATTTCAAACTTCAAATATATATTTCTTATCATTACACACATGTTGTATGACAAGGTCCATAAGTTTGACTATTTTTGAATTATTCCCCCTTGAACTTGGAATTTATGTTAACAACTATAACTTCTTGTCATAAGAAGAAATATATTTATAAATATCATAATTGATTTTTCTTTCATAGTTTTTTCTTCCTTACTATGTCCAGTATTTAATTAGTCAAGCTATGCTGTCGCTGTCTCCTGTGACAGCTCTTGTTTAGCCTAGGCAAAGTATGCACTTTTGCCACTGATAAAGGCTTTGAACCGAAGACCTCTCAATTAAACTCCCAGATTGACATCCTACCACTTTACTCAAGGTTATCCCAGCAACAAGGTTTTAGGAAGTGGCCTATACCTATATAAATGGTGATTCATCCTGCGTTAATCAAGATATACTTGAAATACCAATCTGAAAAACATATTTGAACTTTATTATTTTTGCACAATAGTTCTTAAATTCCAAATGTAGAAGTGAAGTCTGACACTGAAAACCACATCTTTATATGAATCGTCTTGTGCTTTTGCATTAATTATTAAATATATTGTATTGATTTAAAAAAAAAAAACTGGTAATGATAGTGTATTTATTGTCACATTATAATACTAAGAATCTCTGAATATTACCTTTCAGCCTCAGTTGAAAACAGCTTTGAAGTATGTATGTCAGAATTTTCTGGAAGAAGGTGGCTTGATACGAAATATTGAAAACCTCGGTCACAGAGAGCTACCAAATGGCATGAGAGCTCATAAAAAACGTCATTCTCATGGAAAGTAAGTTAAAAAAAAATATATTCTCGTACTCAAAATATAACCTAACATTATCATACTATGTCATTATTTTAGTCCTCTGTTTCACATATAATTGTTGAAGAGACTATATATTAATCTACAGGAAGAAATTCCCAATTGAAAGTTACAAATAAATATATTGAATAATAATTCTAAAATCCTTGAAAATAAAGGCTTCTTCACAGTTACAGAGCTTAAATGTTTGAGCTTAAAAGGTGCAATCCTTGACAGTGATTGTAAATTTGCATTCATTTAACCACTGCAAAATTTCAGTCTCGCTTTTTTCCCAATTTTTAACAAAACCTCGATGAAATTCCCAAATTCATGGGTATGGGTCATGTTCCTAAAATGCTGGAGGTTATGTAATGTAAGGTTATGTTGGTCACAATTCTGATAAATTGAGTGCTTATCTGTCCATAGGTGTTAATTGTTAATGCAGAACAATGCACAATGGGGTTCTCACATAGATGCAATGACAAAAAGCAGTAATGTTTACTTGGTCCCAATTTAATAACAAACATGTTAAACATTGAAATAAATAAGTTTGCATAGTTTTTGGGCTTTTTAGTTTAGACATATTGTCAAATGCTTAATTGTTAATTAATCAAGGGTGACTATGTGGCCTACAGTGAACACACAATTTGATATAATCAGTCAAGTTGTCATTCACCTAGTGCCTTCACACTTGTCATGAATTTGATGCCAAAAAGTTGTTGTGCACATTAATGCATTAAAGGCCCATCATGCCTCAAAAATGCTATCATTTTTATGCTCCCCAAAGGGTGAGCATATAGTTGCTGCTTTGTCCGTCCGTCCGCTATTCTTGTCTGGGACATAACTTTGAAACAACAAGAGTTATCAACATGAAACTTTGTAGATAGATAGATCTCATTGAGTAGAAGGGCAGTGTAAAAGAACCATAACTCAGACTTGCCTAATTTTGGAGTTATTGCCCTTTGTTCATTTTTACACTTTGAGCTTTGTCCAGGACATAACTCTAAAAGCTAAAAGAGATATCAACATGAAATCTTGTAGGTAGATAGAGCTCATTAGGTAAAAGTGCATTGCAAAAGAACCATAACTCTGTCTTGCCTAATTTTGGAGTTATTGCCCTTTGTTCCTTTTTACACTTTGAACGGGACATAACTCTAAAACTATAAGAGATATCAACATGAAACTTTGTAGGTAGATAGATCTCTTTGAGTAGAAGAGCAGTGCAAAAGAACTATATCTCTGTCTTGCCAAATTTTGAGTTATTGCCCTTTGTTTATTTTTACACTTTGAACTTTGTCTGGGACATAACTCTAAAAACTGTAAGAGATATCAACATGAAACTTTGTAGGTAGATAGATCTTATTGGGTAAAAGTGTAATGCAAAAGAACCATAACTCTGTTTTGCCTAATTTTGGAGTTATTGCCCTTTGTTTATTTTTACACTTTGAACTTTGTGCGGGACATAACTCTAAAACTATAAGAGATATCAACAAGAAACTTTGTAGGTAGATAGATCTCTTTGAGTAGAAGTGCAGTGCAAAAGAACTATAACTCTGTCTTGCCAAATTTTGAGTTATTGCCCTTTGTTTATTTTTACACTGAACTTTGTCTGGGAAATTACTCTAAAACTATAAGAGATATCGTCATGAAACTTTGTAGGTAGATAGATCTCATTGGGTAGAAGTGCAGTGCAAAAGAAATATAACTCTGTCATGCCAAAATTTGAGTTATTGCCCTTTGTTTATTTTTACACTGAACTTTGTCAGGGACATAACTCTTAAACTATAAGAGATATTGTAGGTAGATAGATCTCATTGGGTAGAAGTGCAATGCAAAAGAACCATAACTCTGTTTTGCCTAATTTTGAAGTTATTGCCGTTTGTTTATTTTTACACCGTGACAAAACTCTGAAACCATAAGAGGCATCAGCATGAAATTTTGTAGGAACATTGATCGCATTAAATACAAGTGCATTGCAAAAGAACCTTAACTCTGCCTTGCTTTATTTTGGAGCTATTATTTGGAGTAACTCTGACACTACAAGAGGTATACTTTCCTTTGTCCAAAACCTATTCATGGAGCATCACCCAGTTCAACCGGTTCCTGTATTGCATAAACTTGCTATTTTTCAGGTATCTTGTTACAGTTTTCAAAAATATACTCATTTGCCATAATATAGATAACTATCATTTACTTCTTTTGCTCTATTGGCAATGGATATATTCATAGTGATAGAGTATATGTATGAAAGTCAAAATACTACATTGTTTACATTTTGCTACCTTTATGATACATTACTACACATTCAGCACAACTTTCTTCATTTGTTAAACATCTAATATGCTCTAAATCAATTATCAAAACATTATTAAACACATGTTTGAAATTTATAATGAATTTTAAAAAAATATAGATTTCTGAGGCATTATTTTCAATGTGCCTTTAAAGATCATTTCATATATTCGTGCACATGGTATTTACAATACATTATCATTGTCTTTAATACCTAAAATAAACTTGTATTGCCTTGCAATATGACACTTATAAATACAACATACTGTATGTTTATGAAGATGTCACTGTGATGTGTCTTAATGTTTTCATTCTCTGATATCTATAGACCTTAGTCGCCGTTGAAATATTGGTGATGTGAAGGCCTATGATAGTACTGATACCTCAAAGTTTTTTATATTCAAATAATGCATTATCAATTTTTTTCTCTTTACAGTTATTTTTGTATCCAGTTTGAAAGTTCAGTAGAGGCAATGGAAGAAATTAACAAGAAATGTTCACGTACAAAAGAAGTAATTCGCTGTAATATTTTGAGAGAACAGGAACCAATGCGACGGCCTTGCCTTGATGGACCTTGTCTATTTGGAGAAATACCAAATCCTGATCATGACAGAGCTGCATACACCAGAAAAGTGTTGACAAGATATAAGAATAGACGAGTTTCTAATGTCTGACAGTTTCCAATTTATGACAAATAACTATAACAGTTTGATCATGTTTGTTTCAAGAAAGCAAGAATGTATGCTGTCTGCAAGTTGAAGGCTGTCATGTGATGTGTTTATTTTGGTGAAAGTATTGAAATTGTCAAATAAACAAAACTTTTCAGGTTAAATGTTCAGGGTGTTTTTTTCCAAGTTAAATATAGTTGGCAGTATATAGATTTTAAGTGCTGTCCCTGGAATAGTAACAAATGAAAGAAAAATAAAGTTATTTCTCAAGATTACATAAATATAATTAAAACAAAAGCCCTCTTTACCCACAGAATAAGAAGTGGATGGGAATTAGACTGATTCTGTTTGCATTGCAGTAACACTATTGTTTGATTTTATTGCATACCAATTAAACTGTCAATGCACACATTATTTGGTAAGGTGTGTGAGATGTGTTTAAATTTTATTGATGTCTATATACTGTGCATTATAGCATTTTTAGCTCGACTATTCGATAAGAATAAGTAGAGCTATTGCAGTCACCCGAGCGTCGGCGTCGGCGTAACCACTTATGTTAAAGTTTTTGTAATAGTTCAAATATTTTCAAAGTCCATAGACATATGGCTTTGAAACTTTGCACACTTGTTCACCATCATGACCCAAACCTGTAGACAGGAGGAGGTAACTCTATCAAGCATTTTGACAGAATTATGCCCCTTTTTCGACTTAGAATTTATGTTAAAGTTTTTGTAATAGTTCAAATATTTTCAAAGTCCATTGACATATGGCTTTGAAACTTTACACACTTGTTCACCATCATGACCCCAACCTGGAAACAGGAGGAGGTAACTCTATCAAGCATTTTGACAGAATTATGCCCCTTTTTTCGACTTAGAATTTACGTTAAAGTTTTTGTAATAGTTCAAATATTTTCAAAGTCTATTGACATATGGCTTTGAAACTTTGCACACTTGTTCACCATCATGACCCCAACCTTTAAACAGGAGGAGGTAACTCTATTAAGCATTTTTGACAGAATTATGCCCCTTTTTCGACTTAGAATTTACGTTAAAGTTTTTGTAATAGTTCAAATATTTTCAAAGTCCATTGACATATGGCTTTGAAACTTTGCACACTTGTTCACCATCATGACCCCAACCTGGAAACAGGAGGAGGTAACTCTATCAAGCATTTTGACAAATTTTTGCCCCTTTTTCGACTTAGAATTTACGTTAAAGTTTTTGTAATAGTTCAAATATTTTCAAAGTCCATTGACATATGGCTTTGAAACTTTGCACACTTGTTCACCATCATGACCCCAACCTGTAAACAGGAGGAGGTAACTCTATCAAGCATTTTTTTACTATCAAGCACTAAGAATAGTCGAGCGTTGCTGTCCTACCGACAGCTCTTGTTGTAAAATTCTCTACTTGTCAAAAGGTCAAACTGTGCTGGTCTTTATTAGCTGCTTGTTTACAAAGTGAGCTTCTCTTTCATGCCTGTGTCTGCTCACTTAATTTTTTTAAATAGCTCACCTGAGCTGGCATTTTTGCCACATTTGTCACCAAAATTTGTCAGGATGTTTGTCCTAGATGAGTTCCAATATGGGTCATATCCAATAAAAAAACTAGTGTCACTGGAGCCCAAAACAGGAAAATATTGTTAACACTCCAGTGGCTACTATTTGGGTCCAAATATCCTTGAAATTTGTCAGAAAGGTTATTTAGATGATTTTTATATCAAGTTTAAATATTGGTCAACTGGGGCAAAAACGAGGTCACACAGCCCAAGTAGGGAACATTGAGAGCGATTAATGATCCAAGTGTCAACTCAAGACAGCCAATTGCATGTTGCAGCTACTATGTATCAGGAGACACAAATATCATTCTCGGGCAAAACGAGATTTATATCAAAGGGCCATTATTCTGCCAAAATTTGTTTAAACTGGAAAACCCGTGTAATATATGCATGTACGTTAGCTAACAATCAATCTTATTAAGTTTTCATTGAATTGCATTAGTGGTATAAGAGATGTAGTTCGGACAAATTTTTTTAAAAATCATTAAACGCTCATTCTCAATAAAAAACAGCATTTCATGTTCCACTGGGTAGCTCTTATAGGAAGGTTTTTCTTGAGGTCAAAATGTCGTTAGAAAGCTGGATGCCACTTTTGTTCTAATAGGGACTCTCTCAGTTTATACATTTCTATCCGTTATTTTTCTTTTTACAAGTACCATTAATTAAGGCACTAAATGTAACATACGTAAATGTTGCCACTAGAATTTTCAATTTTGAAATTGTGTGTTCAGAAAAATAAGTTCCAGAAAAAACAAAACATGTGCAATTAGTCATTGCTGCGTGTATATGCACTTTGATTATTGGTAAAAATTATATTTGACTGTTAAAATCTCATTGATATATTAATGGATGATCAAATGTTGCCAAATGCATATAAATAAGTAGTGACAAACCTAAAACAATTAGAAGTGAAACCGAAATTACATAATTGAATCGATACATGTTTAATAATACAGCATATATATAATTATAAGTAAAAATAAGCTTGCAGCCTCACAAATATCATTCTATTTTCGGAAATTTTCATTTTTTATTCAAATTTTTGCAACAGCAATTTAAAAAGAAACATACGTTACCATTATTTAAGAGCTAATCCATTCAAAGAAGACTCCAAACAAGAAAGAAAATTAACATGTGTGTTACTCTGATATATTATCCACAAATTATGGCGAGTTATATGCTCTTGCGTCATTTTTCAACCCACTTTCAATGTAAAAATGAAACATACGTAACAGAAACATACGTTACCAACTTTTTAAAGTAAGTTTATCAAAAGGGAAATTGAAATCAGAAAGCACGTATAACAGCAACATTAACTTTAATTTGACATTAGTTAGTAAATTTTGTTAACTATGCTGGAGTTTTAATTTGTTAGGAACCACAGTAAAACCCAAACTTTAACTTTTTAAAACAGATTTTAGTCCTATTTTTTTTTACCATCACTTTATAAAAAAAATAAAATCGCATTTTATGAAAAATTTAATAGAATATGTCGTTTTGGTTTTCCTAAAAAAAAAAGGGTTTTTAAATTTGCGTTTTAAATTTCCTGAAAAAATTTCATAAAAAGCCATTTGTAAAAACTACTTTACTCCAACTTACAATCAAAATTTTTAAAAATTTAAAATAAAAAGGGGTTTACATCCCGTTTGAACTTTACCTTTTTTAAGATTTGAAAAATTTATAAAAATGTTTTTGAAAAGGAAAGTATTTTTAATAAAATTTATTTACCAGCAGAAATTTTAAAAATATATTACAAGTTTATTAAAATTCCCAGCAACAATAATTCTTTCCCTGAAAAAAGACCCTTATTTGACCTTTTTCATTCTTATATGAAAATTTTTAAAATAAAAATCCATAAATTTTTAAAAATTTAAATAATAAAATTATAAACTTTTTTTACAAAAAATAAAAATTGTTTTCAAACCTTTACTTGAAATTTGAAAAAAAAATAAAACAAGGGGACTTTCTATAGGGGGGAAAATTAAAACCCTCTTATAATTAAATTTTCCAAAAAATAAAAAGGGAAAGCCCAAATTTTGAAACGAAATCAAAAATAACTTTTGGGAAGGGCTTTTGATTTCCCTCTTTAATCATATTATAATTTTACCCTTTTTAAGAAGACAAAAAAATTGCCCTTTTTTTGGTTTTTACGAATTTATTAAAAATTGAAAAAAATTAACTAAAAATTTAGAAAAGGACCCAATTTTCCCTTTAAATTTTTCCTGGTTAAAAGTCCCTAATAGTGAATTTACAGTTTTTGATATATTTTTACAACATTTGTTATTTATATGCAGCCAATGTTACATAATAAGATCTGAAATCTACGTTACCGAGGAAATACTGTGTCATTACCAAAATAAATGCCATCCTGTTATATTATAGTTTCTTGTTGAAAATATTTCTGACAAACTTACAAAATACCCTTAACTTTTACTTCAGCAATAAAAAATGACACAATGACAACATCAAATTTTTAATATTTTTCAACCTCAAATGCTTTGTTTTATTGAGAATGGGCGTAAAGGGCCAAAACCAACAAAAATCACGGAACCGAAAAATGCCGATGATATGCACAACTAGACTTATTTAAGGGCCATAACTCTTGACAAAAACCTTTGAACCTGAAAATGCAGATGATATGCACAACTAGACTTGGTACTGATCATCCCTGTAAAGTTTGGATGAAATTGCACGAGTAGTTTTAAGGAAAAAATCGGACAAGTTTTTTAAAGGGAGACTCAACGAGGGGGAAGTAACCCCTTTATTCCCACACTCGTAAAGGTGACAAAAAAACCCTTTTGTTAAAAAACTCAAGGGGCACTTTTTTGGGCTAAAGGGTCTGAAAATTTGTAAAACTTTGGTTGGGGGGATTTTTTCTAGTTTCAAGTGCAAATATGGGTTCGGGGTTTCAAATTTTATCCCCACACAGTTTCATATAATTATAAACATATTCTTTTTAATATTTTTTGGGGGTTTAACAATTTAAAACCAAATATTTTGGGAAAATTTATGTTCGGGAAGGGGTTGTTTAAAATCTGGGGTTTCAAAAACTGGGGTTAAAACAGCCCAAATAGGGAAAAAACCCTTTCAGAAAGGTTCCCGGGAAATTTTCTATTAAAGTTTCATTTTTAGGTCATCGGGGGTAAAAAATTAGTTACACAGCCCAATTATGGAAATATATAAAACACATGAGAGGCAATATTTTCTGCCCAAATAACCTGGAAATTGGTCAGAAAGGTTGAATTCTAGCTCAACTTTGAATATTGGTCATCTGTCGTCAAAAACTAGGTCACAGAAGAGCCCAAATATGGAAAATGTTTGTCACCATAACAAATGTAATATTTTATCAGCAAGTTAATTGTTGGAATCATTGATTTTGGCAGCTGTTGGAATCATTGATTTTGGCAGCTCAAATTTGATTATTGTATGGTCACCTGGGGTCAAAACCTAGTCGCACAGCTCAAATATGAAAAAAAAACTTTTAACACTGAAGAGTTCCTGAATAACCTAGAAATTGGTCAGAAATGTTCAACTTGGTATCTTGGGTCAAAAACTTAGTCACCGCAGAGCCCAAGTATGGAAAACTTTGTGAACACTATAAATGTAATTGTTAAAGCGAAACTATCCTGGAAATTTATCAGAAAGGTTGTTTCAATGATTTCTATGTCAAGTTTGAATATGTCACTTTGGGTCAAAAACTAGGCGACAGCCCAAATGGAAAAACCTTTGCACCATTTCAGATGCAGATATGAACCTTATATCAGTTTAAAGGTTAGGACATTGTATCTGCTTTTCATACATACATATAGTTTAACAATGTCAATTGTTCCTTATCATTAAGAGCCTTTATATCAGGCGAGCAATATAAGGCCATCATGGCCATCTTGATATTTCACTTGTTAAGAACCAGACTTACACAGAACTTGTATCACCATATATATGCACCAGTAGATCATTCAATCTTGTCATGCTTTGCAGTTATAGTCCCTGAGAAGGCAAAAGACAGGTAAATTGCCCTTATCTGTATGATAGCAGTTCATTTTTCATTACTTTGAACGATCATGTTCAGAACTTGTAGATCCTAGTTATCTTATTGCAAGGGCCAAATCCCATCATGCTTAATGAAGTTGTACATAGAGAAATTGTATAACGATTGAGGCAAAACTATGACCAAAAGAGTGTTAACAAACTAAATGTGGACAATGGAATTAAACAATCCTCAATCAAGTGATATATATGCTATATTTGTGTACAACTGCAGGACGATCAATGATAATAATAATGCAATTTACAAGTGTCATCCGTCATCAAATTGTCAAAGAAAAGGGAAATGTGACAAATTATTAATCCCCTGGCAGGAAATAAGTTACCTTGAAGTACAATTTAATTGGCTAAATAATTCGTCACCAATAATAATAAAAAAAATTTATCAGAGAAGACACAAATTCATACAAGATGTCCGTCCTTGTTCACAGCAAATTCAATTATCTTTAATTAAAATAGACCTCAAAGGGTATTTTTGCACCATTAACCTACTATGTTATACCACATGCTAATTGTCCGCGACATTTCACAAGATTTTAGTGTTATCCTAAGGCTATGTATTAGTTTATTTATCTTCAGGGTCAGGATGAATATACATCAAAACATTTACCATTTCCTAGGACTATAAGATGATACTACGTTCTTTAGCACTGGGCATTGCAGTTAAAAAATTTGACAAGATAGGTTTACCATACAAATCTATGTGAACTAAGTGATGTCTCCAATGTTGTTTTCCTGCATATCTTCCCCAGTTTGATTTATATAACTCCTGTCTACATGGCAGTGCTGCATTATCCCCTTTAGTAACACTTCTCGACTTCCACTGGTATTGTTTGATTTTATTGACCTGTTGATGCACACTATTCGCTCAGGTTTTGCACACATTATTCCCTCAGGTTTGCGAGATATGTTTACATTTTATTTGCATCTATATTATATACTGTGCATTTCATCGGAGTAAAATTCTACGTCTTACTTGGTCAAACTGTGCAGGTCTTTATTAAATTTTCTGAATTAACAACTATTTTTGTCTTTGTTTAAAAGACTTCTTTATTTTGGTAGTGTACACTGAATATAGATCATAAATGTCATTTCAATTCAATAAGGACAATACCAAACGATTTGCTTCACATTTTTCTCCGAACTAAGAGATAACCAATGGAAATAGTTTGGCTCCAACTACTGGCCTCTCTTTCTTGTCTTGTGGACCAAAGTGGGATTGAATATTTAAATGAGCACCTTAATGTATTCATAATTGACAGGTCAATAAAACCAGACTGAAGTACAATATAAACATCTGTTACTTTGTCCAGTAAGCCCACAGATTCCTGCCCTCTACTCGTGGTTAAAATTACTACTATGTAGTTTTTATTTCCTTTCTTAGCATTCACAAAATTGTCAAGGTTCACAACATTTGCTGATAAAGCATGTATAAAAGACTTGGAATCTGTCTGATTTTGAGCGTGTTTAAAGCCTGAAAAGCATCAAGGCTATGGAAGTTCTACAACTAGATTGCAAATGGTTCTACTGACAGATGGCACAGTGGTGTCCTTCGTCTTCACCCCAACAGTAAAGCATCAACACTCACTTCATCGAAGTAATTGAATCTAAATGTACAAGAAATGTATGCACTTGGAAAAAATTTATTTTCATATAGTTTACACAATATATTACAATCTTTTTAAAATCTTTTAGAGTATATGGTAGGTTAAAGAGATCACTTGTTTTTTTTTTTACTTTGACCTTTTGGCTGTGTCATTAAGTAAATGTTAATGTGTCGTGGAAAACACAAGTGCAGTTGTTGCCAGCTGTAAACCCTGGCTGCTCTCTCCTCATTCCTTCTCTATATACGAGACTCAACTAGCCATACCTGAAATAATTAGTGAAAACCACTCAATATCATGATAACAATTAACATGCAGAATATGTGAAGAAATACGTGCTACAATTTATAAACACTACAAATGTTAAATAAAAAAATCTTTTATCTTATCATAAATCCAGAATAAAATCTTTTTTTAAATAATTAAAGACAGGTTTGCAATACTTTACCTTCAAATTTAAATAAAGTTTTTGTTACAGAGATTTAATAAAGATCAAACCTAAACCAGATGGACACAATTTTCCCAATTTTGTAAAATTCTCTGTAATAATTCCAAAATATAAATCCACATATAGCTGGGTCTGCTTTAAACTCCAAATTTTCACTGATCCAAATAATACACTGATGAAATCTTCCAATTTCTTCTTTGTAAATTTTTCTTTTTAAACAGTTGAGTCTAGTTTTAGCAGGATAAAATACACTTCTTTCCAAATATTTTCTATACCACATTTTTTTCTTTCTCCATAAATACAAAAAGGCACAAAATCTGCTGTGTTGCAAATCTCCAGTATCCTCAAAAGAATGTGTGCTAAATTTTAGCAACTAAAATGACCAAAGCACAGGAATTCAATGAAGCTTTTCAAATAAATCCATGTTGTTGGATAGCTAATATGGGCTACGTAAGTGCATCTTCAGATTTATCAGTTTAATGCAAATTTATGTGAGTTTCAGTAAATAGGAAAAGATTATCAACAACAATTATTTCAATGTTGTTGAATTTTTTCTTGATCAAAGTTATTAGTATTTATGTGAACTAAATCGACTTTTGTTTTAAATATTGTTACATTTACAGTCACTTTTACAATTAGATTTTAAAGTCGTAAACTTATTTACGTCATTTTGTTTAGAAAAATAAAACAAAAAATTCTTACACATTTTATGCGATTCATAGAATTTCCTTAAAAATTCTAAATGACTTAATACATGGTTGTTTAGTGCTTTTATTTCTGTGTAATAATTATGATGCTTATATTTGTTTATGGGATGCCTCCAGGAATGTTTATATCAGAAAAGCTTCAAACAAGACCTGTTGTGAATAAATTATCCCTTTTACAAGACCCACTAGTGCAAAGCACCAAGTTTACCTTATATATGATCAGCATCTGGTTCTTTGCCGACCGTCAAGTGTTGGTTACCTCAACAGTAACCCCTTACCACATGCCAAATTATTTACATGATTAAATGAAAAAATTCGCAATTGACATCCATAAAATTGGATGCTGAACATAAATTACATATATCCAAAGCATAAACATGATTTGCTCAATTCGAGCAAAAACTCATTCTTTAAACAACACATTCAAAAGCTAAAAAATCCAAAAACATAAAATTTGTTAAATATTTTTTCAATACATTTTACATCTATTTTTAGATTATAAAATCGCAAATTTCATGTAGAGCGGTTTGTAAAATTTCAATTTCATTTTAAAAAATAATTTTCTCGCATTTTAGAAATGGCAAGAGATGGTAGAATGCCTGTGCGATGTAGAATCCTTCCTCAGTTTCTAGTAAGAAAGAGAGAAAGAAAAGAAATTACATAAATGATGTAATAACTATCAACATGCATATAAAGATAAAATACCATATCCTGGACTCTTCATTTTCAATTTCTAAATTAGAATATTATGTTTGAACTTAAAGGGACTCCACTGAGGTTCTTTTTACATTACATGTATGGAAGTATTCTTCAGAGATATGTATACCATTTTATGTAGGTCAGGACTTACAACTTGTGTGCAAAACTTTCAGATAATTCCCTCACCCTGTTTGTCCAAATTTATTTATAGTGTAAAATGTCACCAAATGAAAAGCATGGCAATGCTTTTCACTCAAAACGACTGAAAATTGCACAAAAAGATCAGTATTACCTTTAATTTTGAGAATATTTCTGTAGTATCCTTTTTCCAGAATTTTAAATGCTTTATTTGACGTATTTAATTATTTCAAATTTTCTATTTTAGGCTTTTCTTACCTCAGTGGAGCCCCTTTAATATCTTATATACCCTATTTGAAAAAAGTTTTGAACACTAAAAAAAAATCAGTCCATTTTGTATTGATACCTATATCTGAAAATGTGAGAGTCCAGAAAAGGTGAACACATATCTTAGTTGTAAAATCTTTACGCCTACTTAGCTTTTTTTTAAAAACTTTTCAAACATTTCGATTATCGATGAAAAAAATAACTCAAAGTGAACTTTATACATTTGACCTTTTCTTTCTTTCTATGGTCATGAATAAATATCTTTTAATAAAGTAGCCGATATTACACCAATTTAGTGATAAAAAGGTCTAAAAACAAAATTTCCGAAACAAAAATTAAGAACCATGCTCTTTATTCCATAGAATGACAATACTTCATATGTACTTTCACACGATTTACATATTAGATTAATGTTATGTATATAAAAAAGAAAATAACGATGCCAAATGAAACAACAGTGATGAATACGTACTACATGATCTATGACAAACTACACTAAACAATGCATTTGATATGAAAATCTGAACATGTGACAATATATTTCAGCAACAAATGGTCCTTCAGAATCAATTATCAAGTGCATTTAACTAAAAAATCAATTTTAACCGATACAAAATTTTTGTTTATTTTTTCGATACCTTTCGATAAAATTTCTATTTACAAATCAGCAAATTATTTGATCAGTTTTTCTGATTCAGATTTATGCTGCGCTTAGGACGTGGATCTGCCAAAGTTATTTTAATGAAAAAGTTTAAAAATCGAGGGAACATTCACTTATTTCTAAATACCAGTAAAATCCATTTCTCACTTATATATGATTGGTAGACTCCAGCAGATGATGCAAGGTTTGTAAGTTAAAAAAGACCATATGCAGTAGATGGCCAAAAGTTCAAAATGGATAAAAGTCACAAACTTGACATTTAAAATGCCAACCCTTTCCTGGGTCTAAACATAAACAGGCTCACTGGAGTGAAAACCACACTGACTGTTAAAAATTTTCTAAAGGTATGGCTATTTACAAGTGGTGCTCTATCAGTCTCAGCTTTTCTATTTGCTTATGGATTTAACGGGTTGCTAAGTTATTTTAAATACTCAATCAACCCCAATTTTGACCATACGAGTCCTGGTACCACTGAGCATCCCCCTCACCACTGTAACCCGCACCATACCCACTTTGACCAAGAGGTTGTTGGGCAATGGGCTGTGCTCCCCAGTCAGCGCCAGTGGCTCTTCGCTTTGCCTGTGCTCCAGCTGTTGCCTCAGGAGCCTTCCGCTTGGCCCCTCTGGGAGGAGTCTGCTGGCCTCTACCTGGTCCTCCAGCCCCTCTCCCTCGCATCATGGCGACCCGGCCTCTGGCAGCTCCACGCATACCCCGCGCAGCAGCTGGACCCCCTCTAAGTCCACCGCGCGGTGGCACCCCTCCTCGGCCTCGACCGGGCTGCCAAAGACAAAACACAAAATTTTAAATTAAAGCTAAGTTTTCAGAAATCAACATAAATACACAAGCACACCCTACTGCAACAAGTTTAATAAAGTCATAAATTCAATGTTTGTACATAAAAATATATACACAGCCTTAAGATTTATAATAACATTTTTCAGAAATATATTCAGTTGTTCAGATTAATCTTCCTTTTTGTACAAGAACACCACAGGTTTGATACTTACTGGTGGCATTGGTCCACCTCGGCCACCACGTCCACGAACTGGTGGAGGTGCATAACCCCCATAATAATCAAATCCATCCTCATACCCATAACCATAGTAATCATCATAAAAATAGTCTGAAATAAAAATTATAAAATTTTGTTCACATTTAAAATACAGGTCCATTTCAAATACTATCGTTATGTTTATAAAAGTATTCATATCAATTAATTAATGTGTAAAATACAACAATAGGTGAATATCATCTTTGTTTTTACCTGGCGGTGGCATTCGTCGTCCCATTCCACGCATCAATGGTGGTGGCCCTCTTTGCATCATTCCTCCTGGTGGTCCATAGAAGTCATCAAATCTACATTACAAGAAATGACATTCAGTAATAAAGTAACTCATTTTGCCAAGGGTCAAGGGTGAAATTTTAATATACAGGCTGAAAATACAACAAATTTTAACATTTTAACCAACGATATTGATCACCAATCTGTTAATAATGAAAACCCTGATTGACCCTAAAACTGGCTTCCCAATTTCAGTATTTAGACCCCAGAAATATGTCCCCTACAATAACAGAGGCAGATGGATATCAAATTATGAATACAAATAGGTGATAAACAGTATTATAATTTTCCTTTAATATTTACAATAATAAATATATATAAATTACCCTCCTTGTCCTCTCATGCCTCCCATCATCCTCATTTCACGACTTGCTTGTCTTTGTTGCTTCTTTTTGTTTTCAGCTGCTGGTTTAGCGAGGGACACTTCAATGTTCAATTTTCCAAGAGCCTGAAAGTATACAACAAAACAATCTTTGTCAAGTTTATGATTACAATGTTCACTAAACAACAGACTTATGTAGCATGTATTTTTCAGTCACCAATTTTTTTACGGTATCAAAAAGAACTCTGTATGAACAATTCCACACCTTCAGACATTATACAATCGAACATTTCCATGCATTCAACAAGCATTACACAATCAAAGAACACTTAAAACAAGACTTACAGATCCGTTCAGTGCCTCCATAGCTGCTACTGCTCCTTCACGTTCTTCAAAGTGTACAAAACCATAGTCTTTGATCTTTTTGACACGTTCTACTGTACCATGCTTCTCAAAAGCCTCTTTCAAACCTTCCTCTGTAACATCAGCGGTCAGGTTCTTCACATACAGGACTTTCACCTGGCAGATAAGAAACAACAAAATTATTAGAAATTGTTTTGATCACTGCAAATAAAATGGACAAGTAGTAAACAAGCCTGTTAAACCAGGAGACTGACCTTTATATTACAGAGAAATTTAATATTTTATACAATAAGATGCCAATTAACCTAATCTATAAATGTAAATGATGTAACACTTAATACTATGCAAAGTCCAATTTAATCAATTAATTAAAACTGAAATGCAACATTACAATGTCTGACTCTGTAAACTATGTATTACCATCATGTGACACTATTTAGAGCAGCACAATCTGGCAAGAAATCAGAATTGCTTTACACAGATAGCAGCCTCCATATCTACTAAGCTATGAAGGACCTGGACTGTGATTTGTAATCAACCTACAATATCAATTTTTCTCAGCAAATTATCGAAACAAATAATGACTAGGTTCATTAATACAGATTTCATTTCTGTCAGGCCATGCATGCCTTTATTTCTTTTGTTCCAAATGTAAGCCATGTATCTAGCAGAATGTTTTTGTTTCATTTTACGCCTTTTCCCCAACAGTATTTCAGTCATATATGCGGGTAGTTTCCTAACCATCGTTCCTGGAGAGTTACGCCAGTACTAGACTACCTTCCTCCATGCTAAACTACCAAAGCATCTCCTGGGGATTGAACCCACGCCAGAGAGATAACTGGATTAGAAGTAATCGACTCTAACCCCTCGACCACGGAGGCGGTCTCTAGCAGAATGTGTAGAGGTACAAAAAGTACATAATAAATACATGTATGAGACCTAAGTAACTTTGCGCTATTAAATGATACTATTATAAGTACCATTCCTAGACAAGAATCAATGTTAATTTACACAGATAGCAGCCTAAATAACTACAAAGCTATGTAGGACCTGGACTGTGATTCAAGTCATCCAGCAAATGGCATTTATATTACAACAATCCAGGAGAACACAAGGTCTAAATAAGTTCATTCTTCTTTAGAAATAAGTCTGGCACTTCAGTTCCAACAGGCCAAGGGTTAAAAGTTATTGTATACCTTTGACATTGTTTCATCATCTGGTTCCTCTACAGGATCAGCCCAGTCTACAATAATATCACAGTTCCATACTTTTACCCTGCCAGACATCAACTTCCTCTTGGCTGTTGAAGCACTTTTATGAGAATCATAGTCCAAGAAGGCAAAGCCTCTATTTTTCTGATTGTCTTTTTCTACAGATCTGTAGATTATTACATCAATCAAACCCTCTGCAACAAAAATAAATACATCATTCAAACATTGGTGTAATACACTAATCAAGTTTAAATTCTTTGACCTGATAATGATACTATACAGAGATATACAATAGTAGATTTCCTTCAACTAGTCCATAAATTAGCCATTTAATATTAATATTTAACTAAACCTGCTGCAATTAAATCCAAGGTTTTCCTTCAGCAAGATTAGATTATGTTTCTTTCAACACATTTTAAGTCATACCATTGGATAGTCTATTTAACCAACTTTCCTGAATAACTTTAATAACAAATTTCTTTGCAAATGATAATTTCTACTTTGAACAGAATTTTGGGACTGTTGGAAATCGTTTGTCATAAGAAATTTGGCCTTGTTAGAAGATTGGATACAGACTATCATCTCACCATTGGGCTATGCTGGTATACCCAAGTTATAATGAAAATTTTAACAGCAAGTACCTGTTCTTTTTGAGAATTCTTCTTTGATTTCCTCTTGTGTCTTACTTTTTGGAATGTTACCAACAAAAAGTCTCTGATTGGCTATCGAGATATTTGCCTTTAATGTTTTTCCTTTCTTTACTTCATACCCTTCCAACTGAAATTCAATGATTAGTCTTAGAATTATTTGACAGAACTTTTCAATAACATTGTAAAGCGACATACTCAGCATCATGTACTAAGCTGATAACTTAGTAAAGCAATTCTTTCACACTTAATTTCCACCAGGAGTTTACTACACAAGTTTCTTTTTCTTTTTTCTAAAAAAAATTAAATACAGAACTTTGCAGCTATCTCTTGTTGTACTTCAACCACAAATGTGGAGTTTTTGCAATTTTTTCGCTTGTTTTTTCCCCCCTAATATTAACATTTATTCAAAGGGAAATTTACAAACAAAGATGTTAATGCTATCAAATAATTTAAAGAATAACGAAATAATCTTCAACAAAATACAAGCACCATGATTCTCAGACTCTCTTAACAGTCACTTACCTTCTCAACACAAGCTTTTGCACTAGACTTGTCAGTAAATGTACAGAAAGCATAACCCCTACTAAACCCAGTCATAGGATCCATCATTAATCGAAGATCCCAAACTTTCCCACATTCTTCTACAAGTGGTATAATCTCATCTTCAAACACATCTTTTGGAATTTTGCCAATAAAAACCTGTTTAAAATAATTAATGACATTATAATAATAAAACAACAATTTACACGAGAGTAAAATTATATAATTCTTAGTTTTAATCATTTTAACATTATCCCATTTTCCCTTTACCTGACAAGTAAATACACAATAGTTAAAACTTACAATCCCCCCCCCAATCTAAATATATTCTGAAATTCAGAGAAAAAAGTTAAACTTACCTCATGCCCTGGGCCAGGCTGTGTGCCTTCCCAACCAGGTGGAGGTCCACCATACTTTCTTTGACCAGTAGTCACATCTAAAGTGTATCCAGATTTATCAAGTATTTCCTGAAATCATGTTTTGAAAAATCATGTCTTTATCTTGCAAAATACTTTTATTTTCCTTTAAAGATTTGACCTTAAAATACTATTTTCTTAATATTCAAAGCTTTTTATTACTGGTGCCCTGCTATAGGTTCCAAAAAGTACCTTGCAGGTCATAAATCTGAAACATCATTTTGCTTTTTCTGTTCTATGCTAGACCGGTCAGTGATTTAGTTATTTTGTACAGAAGTCATAAAACAACTTTGTTTACATTTTGCTACCTTTACTACAAATTATTTTACATTCATTTCCAACACTTCCTTTTACCAGTGATAATGAAATGATATGCTTATATCCATTAATTAACACATTCTATTTGTCTCTTCTAAACAAAAACAAGAGGGCCATGATGGCCCTGAGGTCGCTCACCTGTATATTGCCCCCGCCCCCCCCCCCCCCCCGGGCCAATTTTTACCCCCAGGGCTTTTATTTGAACAGACTTGGTAGACACCCATAAGAAGATGTTTCATGCTAAACATCTAAGTTCTAGCTAATTGGGTTTTTTAAAAGAAGATTTTTTAAGTTGTTTACTATACACATATAGTTAAAAACAATAACACCCCTGGGGCAGGGCCAGTTTTGACCCCCGGGCTTTTATTTGAACAAACTTTGTAGATATTTACTTAAAAATGTTTCATGTATAATATCTAAACTCAAGCTATTTGGGTTTTTTAAAAGAAGATTTTTAAGTTTTTGCTATACACATATAAGGAAAATCAATGACCCCCCGGGGCGGGCCAGTTTTGACCCCAGGGCTTTTATTTGAACATACTTGGTAGACACCCATTAGAACATGTTTCATGCTAAATATCTTAGCTCTAGCTCTTTGAGTTCTTTAAAAGAAGATTTTTTAAGTTTTTACTATATGCATATAGGGAAAATCAATGACCCCCCTGGGGCGGGGCCAATTTTGACCCCAGGGCTTTTATTTGAACAAACTTGGTAGACACTCATTAGAAGATGTTTCATGCTAAATATCTTAGCTCTAGCTCTTTGGGTTCTTTAAAAGAAGATTTTTTAAGTTTTTACTATATGCATATAGGGAAAATCTATGACCCCCTGGGACAGGGCCAATTTTGACCCCAGGGCTTTTATTTGAACAAACTTGGTAGACATTCACTAGAAATTGTTTCATGTCAAATATCTAAGCTCTAGCTCTTACAGTTCTTTAAAAGAAGATTTTTTAAGTTTTTAATATATGCATATAGGGAAAATGAATGACCCCCTGGGGCGGGGCCAATTTTGACCCCAGGGCTTTTATTTGAACAAACTTGGTAGACACTCACTAGAAGATATTTCGTGTCAAATATCTTAGTTCTAGCTCTTTGGGTTCTTTAAAAGAAGATTTTTTAAGTTTTTACTATATGCATATAGGGAAAATCTATGACCCCCTGGGGCAGGGCCAATTTTGACCTCAGGGCTTTTATTTGAACAAACTTGGTAGACACTCATTAGAAGATGTTTCATGCTAAATATCTTAGCTCTAGCTCTTTGGGTTCTTTAAAAGAAGATTTTTTAAGTTTTTACTATATGCATATAGGGAAAATCAATGACTCCCTGGGGCGGGGCCAATTTTGACCCCAGGGCTTTTATTTGAACAAACTTGGTAGACATTCACTAGAAGATGTTTCATGCCAAATATCTAAGCTCTAGCTTTTACAGTTCTTTAAAAGAAGATTTTTTAAGTTTTTACTATATGCATATAGGGAAAATCAATGACCCCCCGGGCCGGGGCCAATTTTGACCCCAGGGCTTTTATTTGAACAAACTTGGTAGACACTCACTAGAAGATGTTTCATGCCAAATATCTTAGCACTAGCTCTTTGGGTTCTTTAAAAGAAGATTTTTTAAGTTTTTACTATATGCATATAGGGAAAATCAATGACCCCCTGGGGCCGGGCCAATTTTGACCCTAGGGCTTTTATTTGAACAAACTTGGTAGACACTCATTAGAAGATGTTTCATGCCAAATATCTAAGCTCTAGCTCTTACGGTTCTTTAAAAGAAGATATTTAAAGATTTTTCTTTCGGTTGCCATGGCAACCACAGTTCTGCATGAAATGGAATTCTTTGAACAATCTTGATAGAGCTTCATACAAAAAGTATTCCTGCCAAGTTTCATTAACATTGGCCTTGCGGTATCATAGAAGATGTCCTTAAAATATTTAAAATGTGGACGGACGACAGACGACGGACGCCATTTGGTTGGCCATCCTAAAAGCTCACCTGCACTTTGTGCAAGGTGAGCTAAAAACAAAAAACAGTTTGTTTCAGTGAAAATAATGCAAACAATAAACTCTATATTTGTTAAAATGATTTTTTTTCATGAACAAAAAAATAACTACCTAAACTTTAAGGACTACTTAAAACTGAATTCAAACATATTCTGAATGTTTATAAAAATATCTGATCTACAGCAAAGCAATAATGAATAAATTTGAGTTCCTTTCAAGATTTCTACAAGTTGAAAATGCACATCATTTAAACTTATACAACAACTTACCTTTAAAGAGGTTGAAAATGAGTATGACTATGAGGCCATCCTTAAAAAAATGTTTGTTTGCAGTAACGCGACCGACTCACAAAATTTGCCCCTACTCAAATTTTTTTTCATGGTCTGGATAAAATAAATTATTTTTTTTGAATCAGAAAATTATGCCTTGTGCTTTGTTTTCGTTCTTTTAAAGGTAAATAGAAGAAATAAAATGTAGTTCTTATTAAATTAGAATTCAGTTATCAATTTATTAATTGTTACCAGATTATCAAAGCATATATTGTCCAGCATTTTGAAATTCCATGTTTATTTGGGAGTACAGTTCAATAAAAAAAAAAATAATAAAAAAATAAATCGACCTACCTACCCACCTTGAAAATTCTGGGTCGGGTTACTGCAAACAAACATTTTTTTAAGGACGGCCCGATTTAATGAAGTATTTACCTTAATTTTATCTGGATTTTTTTTGAATCAGAAAATTATGCCTTGTGCTTTGTTTTCGTTCTTTTAAAGGTAAATAGAAGAAATAAAATGTAGTTCTTATCAAATTAGAATTCAGTTATCAATTTATTAATTGTTACCAGATTATCAAAGCATATATTGTCCAGCATTTTGAAATTCCATGTTTATTTGGGAGTACAGTTCAATAAAAAAAAAAATAATAAAAAAATAAATCGACCTACCTACCCACCTTGAAAATTCTGGGTCGGGTTACTGCAAACAAACATTTTTTTAAGGACGGCCTGATTTAATGAAGTATTTACCTTAATTTTATCTGGATCTGGACCTTTGGGTGCAGCATTTGGTCCACCACCTTTACTTTTTTGTCTGAATGTTTTCATCTGACCACAGAGGAAAGCACTTTTGTTTGTCACATGTTCAAGACTACTCTCAGTAAACTGTTGAAGTACTTTGACAGCATCATCTGGGTTGAATTCTTTCAGGGCATCCAGGGCCCTTTCATCAAGTTCTGAATGTGAAAGTTTGCCTGAAAATGGAAACGTAAAAGTTTATAACTTGAAAATTGTATCGAAGTACACATTTCAGTCAACTTTAATATTTATGCCTGGGATCAAAAATATATTCTGGACAAGTAGCTTCAAATTTCTACTTCACCTGCATTTTGTGCATGATTACCAACATAAACTTTGTCAATACCAGTGGACAAGTGGAATTTTCAATCCCTGCAAGATTATTAACAGCAGCTGATACAAGTTAACCATTAGTTACTGCTACACTAACACATTACATAAATTAAATAAACAGAAACACTCAATTATACCATAATTAGCAAAATAATCAAATACACCCACTGACTGTCTCTGTATGAACTAGAGTTGTTTCCCTATCTTCTAGTTAAATCAATATCTCTAATGCTAAAACAATACAAATGTAGTTGTTTTAAACTGCTATACTGGGGCGCTTTTAATGTCCCATTTTAAAACTTATTACACCGATCTTAGCTTCATCTCAGTATATATTTCAACAAATCATTTGACATAAAGGTATTTAAATTTACGGTTAAACCTACCACAAGTCAAGACAATTTTACATACGATTTAAACAGGGAGACACTCAACCAGTTATCTTTACTCACAATTCTACTGGTAAGAATAGCCTGTCGTCTATTAGTTCGGAAAGTGTCAATTGGAGTATTGTTCAATTATAAGTACCTGTTGTATAAATGTTTTCTAGCTCTGATGCAACTTTTTTTGAAATGCCATATTCTACCAGGAATTTGTATTCATCAGAGTGTAACAAGTTGTCTTCTTCTTCCTGATCCATTTCAGCTTTTACACCATTTTCAGTCATCTGAAATTTTAATTAAAAAATTTATTTCAAGAAAACAAATTGAAACACATTCATTAATGGTCCAAATATTTAGACGTAACTGCAGATTTGAAGCACTAAACATATGAGTATAAAGTACTTGCAAGAAACGCAGACATATTAGATATATAGTGAAAATGAATTTTGCAGGACTTATATATTTCTTTTATTAACAGTAAAGAACATAGTAAAATGCAGCAGCATGCCCAGAAACGCACAAACGTGCGTTTTTCATGCAGAATATACAATGAGTACACAAATTTATCAAAGTATGTGCGTCAAAAAAACACATTTTTTGCCGATGGTAAATGAACTAAATCGCAATAAATTTGTGGCCTGCAACCTATAGGAAAATAGCCAATATAAAGTGGCCGGGAACCTAAAACGCTTGACAAATTCTAGCATGGGGGTGTTACGTCATAATACTGTAAATCATGGTTGACAATTTTCTGAAGAGTTAATAGTCAATTATTTATGTTGCAGACTGTTTACCAGTATTTATCTCAAATAATTATGTATGAACCATGCACTGACGACAAAACTAGGGTTTTTTAATCGGACAAAAATCATAATCAATCATCGAAAATAATCGAACAACCCTTTTCGATCCTATATATCCTATATTGTCTGCATAAGCGTCTGCGTTAAAGCCTGTGCCCATTTATGCCCTGTATTAGTTCTGGCTTCCATAACCCTGTATGTCCTTTTATTTTGATGTTGTGCGACAGTAAAGTTATGGGTCAACCCTATTTGCAAAGGCTACCAGAATTTTGGCAGTTTGTTTGCCGTACATAAAAACCTATTATAATCACTCTTAATTAATCAAATTTGGGTCAAATAAAAATACAATTTGATAATCAAATCAATTTTGAATCAATTCATTTTCGTCTTTAAATGAAACTTCAATGACATTGTGTACCAAACTATTTGTTAGGGAAATATGAAGATATGTTTACCAATAAGGAGTCTTTCAAATGAAATCTCAAGGGACTTCAAGTTAAGGGAATTCTAGCATCTATTTTTAGTAACGGACCATACACTATTTTTATTAAGTGTACAATTTTAAATAAAAACAAATAATTCATGAATCATCACTCCCAACATGTTTTTGGTATAATGTTCGTATTGAATAAATACACCGTTATTCATAATTGCAAAGTCAGGTTTCCATTTAAAAATAGCATTTGGGTCATGGGTCACCAAATGTCATGCAAAGGTAGCCGAACCTAAATTCTCGCTAGTCACATGATAACAAGCAAATTCGTTGAATTTATATGAAGACATAAGGCTTTATTTATATATTAATCATGGCATAAACAGTAATATTCTTTGAACTTGATAAATATTCAGGGCAATAACAGGGCCATAACTTTGTGTTAAATAGTAAAATCTGGAAATGCCAATGAGATGTATGCATACTACATAACTAATCAAGGGCCATAAATCTGAGTTATAAGTATCTGACTGGAACAAGGCGACTATATGCATATCTCCTCTTAGTATCCCATAAAGTTTCATTGAATTCCAGCCAGTAGTAGCAGAGAAGTAGCGAGGAAAAAATATTTTTCTATATGGATACTGCATAAGTAATCAAGGGCCATAACTCTGAGTTAAAGTGTCTGACCGGAACAAGCCGACAATATGCCCATCTCCTCTTGGTATTGAAGGTTCCCATAAAGTTTCGTTGAATTCCAGCCAGTAGTTGCAGAGAAGTAGTGCGGAAACGATTTTTACTCTATATGCATACTACATAACTAATCAAGGGCCATAACTCTGAGTTAAAGTGTCTGTCCGGAACAAGCCGACGATATGCGCATCTCCTCGATATTGATGATTCCCATAAAGTTTCGTTGAATTCCAGCCAGTAGTTGCAGAGAACTACTCCGGAAATGATTTTTACTCTATATGCATACTACATATCTAAGCAAGGGCCATAACTCTGAGTTAAAGTGTCTGACCAGAACAAGCCGACGATATGCCCATCTCCTCTTGATATTGATGATTCCCCTAAAGTTTTGTTGAATTCCAGCCAGTAGTTGCAGAGAACTACTCCGGAAACAAAATTTTACTCTATATGCATTCTACATAACTTATCAAGGGCCATAACTCTGAGTTAAAGGGTCTGACCGGAACAAGCTGACGATATGCGCATCTCCTCTTGATATTGATGATTCCCATAAAGTTTCGTTGAATTCCAGCCAGTAGTTGCAGAGAACTACTCCGGAAACGAAATTCGGCCGGACGGACGGTCAGATGCGCATCTCCTCTTGATATTGATGATTCCCATAAAGTTTCGTTGAATTCCAGCCAGTAGTTGCAGAGAACTACTCCGGAAACGAAATTCGGACGGACGGACGGACAACGCCAAAACTATATCCCCCTCCCGATTCCATCGGCGGGGGATAATTAGGGTAGCAATGGCGGAGAATTTATGAAATGTGAACCCACTGATAAACTTTGAGGCATTATTTCATCAATCTAAAGTTCTGTGTTCAAAACAGGGTTTTTTTGCAGGATTTTGGGAACATGACCCATACCCATGGAATTGGAATTACAGCGAGGTTTTGTTAAAAATTGGGAAAAATGCATAACTTAAATTTTGCAGTGATTAAATGAATGCAAAGAATCACTGTCTAGAATGGCATCTTTAACCATTTAAGCCCCATAACAAGAAGCCCTTATTTTTTAAGAGTTTTGAATTAGTTATTAAACATTTTTACTTTGTAACTTTCAATTGGGAATTTTTTCCTGTGGATTGGGAAAATAATATACTATTTTCAATTGGGAATATAACCGAATATCGGCTATAAAAGAAGCCAAAACAAGATTGCATTTGAGAAAAATGCTATGCCACCGCATTAATACAACACTAAACAGTAGTGTAGGAACAGATTTTTTGGTTTCTATACAATTTTGAAGATTGTCATAATGCATAGATCCCTGACCTATCTAATTCTTATTATCAGATTAGTGGTTAAATCTGTTGTTAACTCAATAAAAGATCAGATTAGGAATATATCAATGCACTTGAGTCTAGTGAATTTGGTGGTGAAGGTCATATTTCACACAGCCTAAAATTTCATGACTATATCAAAGGACAACACAGTAAGACACTTTGTCAAAATCTAGGTCAGCTGAAAGCAAAGTTCACTTTACATCTTAATCTGTGCACAATTGGTTCAAATTTCATAGCTGCAGGGCTCATCCGGAAGGGCGATTCAGGCGATAACTTCGCCGTGTATATTCCAATTTCGCTCTCCCGATTGATCAAAGAGAAGTCAACATCGCCGATAAAATCTAAATTCCCAAATAGTAATTACTTAGCGATGTAAAGAGCAGAGATTGTATCCGCCCATATGACGACAGCTAATTATCATTATCCAATCAGAGCGTCGCTTTATACTACCCTTCTACCTGTAAGCAAAGCGATAGACCGCCTACTGTAAACAGTAAATAATGAGAGCATCGGCCCGAAACGGTATAATTGTGTGATAGTTTTGCGAGTTTAATACGGGATTTGGCGATAATTATAGATTGTTTTTTCCCCGATTATCTAAACACGTGCAATCTTCCCTAATTGATATACACGATGCACTTCGATGGTGGGTTTTTAACCCGAGTAAAGGCGATGTGCAATGGATTTTTCACGGCTATCACAAAACTGTTAGTCAATTAAAAATAATCAATTTCATTAATGTTCAGCGACAGGATTAAAAACTTAATCATAGTTTTGAATGATTTCAGTCTGTTAACATCAATTTTTACTGTAAAATTGTTATGTCGCTCACGTCATGGCTACAAGGCGAAATGCCGAAACCGAGCAACTTAAGAAAGTTACTGATTCTGAATGATAGTTACACCTACGCGAAAATTTAAGAAAGCCAATTCGCAAAAATCTTGCGATTGGGGTGTTTGGCATTATTCTCTTTGTAGAAATGCCAAATTTGACACAGTTTACGCACTGGCGAAACTACATATCGGTCGTATATCATGTAACGTATATAACAACAAAATTTGTCAGGAAAAAAGTGTTCTTTTTGTTTCAATATATATATTTGTTTTAATGTCGTAAATATGACGCTCAGATTAAGATTTATCAATATTGTAAATTTTAAAAAGCATTATTTATAAAGATATTACCGAATTTTAACATTTCGTGAAAATAAAGGGAGGTAATTAGAAATTAATTTTCTACAATTTCTTAGTCAAATTTTTCAATAAGAAATGAATGTATGTAATTTTAGTAATCAAATATAATGTGCACAAATGTTTGCAGTACATATTTTACATATTATTTGATGTTTGAAAATTGTTTTATAAGCATAATTATATGCATATAAATGTAACATTAAACATACATGAATTTGTAAGAAATTTCTGTCACCAGAACAGAATAGAACAGACATTATTAATCAATATCAATTATGAAAAAGAAAAAAAAAACATTATCAATCAATATCCAATGTGACCTCATCTTCTATTAAAAGTGAGGAAAGTAAAAAATATAAAATTGATTTTATCATCATATCTTTTTCTTACACATTATTATCAACAAATCTACATGAAAATATATAAACACATATTTAGAGAAAGCTTATAAATAGCTGATCAATAGATATCAAAAATATTTTTTTTTATTCATATTTGCAGCTCAAAAACATTTAGATGCCATTGCGAGATCTACCATTATAGTCTGTCCCATCAAATTTGAACATTCCATTTTTTATTTAATATAATAGTAAAATCATTTAAAATAATGTCATGTTAACCCTGACGTCAATATCTCTAGGCATGTTTTTCATTTTTTCCATAAAGTCAGAAATATGGTCAAAATGTTAAAATTATATTTTTTCCCGTTGACTTACGTTGTAACCTGACGTGACGTCCATTTCAAAATGGCGGCGCCCATACAGACGTCATTTAGGGTTCGTCTCACAATTAGCGTGAACTGTACTCGGTTATTATAAAAAATTAATTTATTCTTATTTACTTACTGATCAAT